CCCGGCCGCAGTGGAAGGGGTTCCAATACACCATTGGGCAATAAGCTGTTCATGGAGTGCAGCAGGTACTTGCAGCAACGTGCCGAAGAGTTATATCGCTCGTTTTTGATATATCGTTGAAGCCGGTTTCTGGCTTTACTATGCGTTTGAGCCGTGCCCACACTTGATGATGCACCTCATCCGGAAATCCCTTTAACCCGTAAAGCACCCGAGCGCCCGAAGCCTTGAGTCTCTGAAGCCCCCGATCCTTCGTGCGAGGCCTGTGCCCACAGCTCTGTCCGATGTGTGGAACTTCTACTTGAGGTCGGGGCCTAGTCGCCCAAAGTTAGTGCTTGGGAGTGCTGGGGTCATATTCAAGCATGGCCAGTGTTGCTGTCAAAATATCCTCTGATACCCACGTCATGTGCCGCTTTTCATGTAGAGGGTTCTTGGAGAGATTCTGCCACTGAGACCGCATGGATTGTAACCTAAGGAAATTTCCAGGAATTTAAGCGGAGACTCCACTCTCTGAGAAAGCTGCTTCTTCAAACTGAGAGTTTCAGAAAAGTCAAGGTTCCAAACCTTGAGTGGTAGGGTCCTGTTTACAAGGACCCTTGAACTCTGAACGTTCTGAAAGCTTGGATTCCCTTTCAGCAGCCCGCGATGGGCTTTCTGCAATCGCTTGCCGCAGGCCCGGTGCAATGTTAACGAGGCGCGGACCGGGGTCAAAAAGGACATTGAACGGACAAAGTCCTCGAACCCTAAACCCTAAACCTTAAACCCTTGCATGGTTGCTTCGCGTCTTGGGGCCTGGTGTACTCTTGTGGCAGACTTATCCAAAAAACGGGACCTCAACAATCAGAGCAGGGCTTTAGAGGGGTACTGAAGGTGTTTTATGGTCCGGACCTCAAAATGAGAAGGGGATTTAAACCCGCAAGCCTTAACCCTGAAATGTTGGATTTCTAGGATTGAAGGATGTGTTATGATATGTTCGCATGTATGGCATAGGGGGCGAGGGCGAGGTCACAACATCCAGATCTCTGCAGAGGCGACGTGGAAGCTTCATGGGTTGTTGCACGATTACAGTTTCTACAGGTTCCTTAGTTCGGGGGTGTAAGTAGGCAAGAATGTAGTTACTTTTTGTCCTTGCGATGGTCAGCTGCTCCACTGAAACTCATCTGCGGCGCCCTAAAGCTGTAGATAAGATGTGCCTTCTTGCTACACCGAGCTTGCGGCTCAAGGGGTAGAACTGCCGGTGAGTTGGTGCCGTCCTCGAACGACCAGGCGCCTGCCATGTCCCTCTCGCGTGTAGCCCTTGCCACCGCGCTCCTTTGGACCGCGGTTCGGGGTGATGATCCGTGCAAAGAGTCATCACGCTCGCGGCTGTATCAGCTGATGAATGTCACGGGCAGCCGAAATGCCAGCGTCCCTTGTGCCAGAGCACGCCGCCCGGTTCACCAGGTGCGGATGTACCGCCACTGCGTGCGATCAACAAGCACCAAGGTGAAGGGTGCCAACCCGGATTACACTCATCTCCAAAACTACACGGACTTGCCGATGCCTGATTGGAACACCCCGTTCAAGTGGTGCACCGCACAGGGTGCTGCGCTCATTGAGAGAGAAGGCCAGAAGCTGAAGCAAGAAGAGCCGAAGATGGAAGTTTCAAAGCTCAGGGTTCTCGCGGACACCGTCCAGCGCGATGCCACGACTGCAAACTCCCTACTTCAGGGTCTGGCTGCAAAGGGCGAGGTCTACACGGCAAACGTGGAGTACTATCCACTGCTCTTCCATGCCGTTCACCCACACACTGGTGCGGGAGTTTGCCCTGGTCCTGACGCCCAAGTTGTCACGGCACAAAGGCAGCAACGTCTGGAGACGACCCCCATGCCCATGAGCATCGGTCCTGCTCACAGCATGAATCAGACACGGTATGGGGAAGTGCTGGACATTTTTGAGAATCTCTTCGGCATTGGTGCTGCAGGTCCACTGAAGAATCTCACCAACCCACCTCTCATTGACAACAAGACAGGCGAGCTGATGGGGGCGGCTATCGTGCTGAAGCGCTTGGCAACGAACCTGTTGTTTGCTTATGCATCCGGCATTCCGCAGCCGACTCACGCACCGACAAGCCAGAAGCAGATAATCGAGCTTGCTTCATGGGTCGACTGGCAGCGCAGGGTCACCGCAGTGCCTGCTTTTCTCACCCCGCAGAAAGCTTGTGGTGCCCTCTCCATCATTACAGCGTTGCTGGACAAGTCCAGGCACAGAAACGTCATCTATGTCGGGCACGACTCTGACCTTGACGCCTTGGCACACTTCTTCCAGATTACATGGCAGGCACCTCCTTACCCGGCATCGACGACCACGCCGCCGGGTTCATCGCTTGCGTTTACACCCCGAGGTGACAAGACAGCTTCGGTACATTTCACCTACCAGGTCTTTGACTCGACGGAGGACCCTGAGGTGAAGGTCGTCCCCACCCTTCCTTCCCGGGTGGACTTGCCAGAAGTCCAGACTTTCATCGAGAAGCAGATCTTGGAGTTTGCAGGTGAAAGCTGCCTCCGAAGCTGCCAGAGGCTGGTAGCGAAGCTCTGATGACTTACCACTTACCTTTGCTTAGTAGGGAATGGAAGAATGGTAGTAATAGTAGTTATAATTTTACCCCATTCCTCCATTCCGTACTAACCAAAGGCAAGATGACCGAAGGACCGAAGGTCTGAACCAAGCTTTTGAGTGCACGAAAGTCGTGCAGATCTCGGTCTCCTGTGCCTTTCCGTCCTTTGCCGAGGCAGGACATGTACAGCAAGCGCCGGCAAGCGCTTTGTGGCAGAGTTTCGGATGTACAGAGCACAAGGGTGCCCAGGAAATTGGTTCAATTTGGCTAGCCTCAACACCCTATGCCTATACCCAAATCCTCCTGGTGTCTTTCAGGTTGCGGACGACAGAGGACGGCAATCGCTGATGATGTGGGCGGCTCGAATCGACTATGTGGACACGGACCCTCATGCGATTCCTATCTCGAGATCATGCGCCCATCACCTCAAACCCCAAATCCTACGGTCGGAGGAGGGTACCGCAGCGCCCAACCCTATCCTGGAGCTGTTGCTGCGGCACCGTGGCGCTGTCGACCAGGCACACGTTTTCAGAAGAAGAGACATGTCTTTCCTCAGTCTCCTGTACCCCATAGATAGACCGACGCATGGGATGCATGCATGGATGGATGGGTGGATGGGTAGATGGTGGATGGGGGTGGGTGGATGGATGGGATGGGATAGGATGGGAGGGGAGGGTGGGTGGGTCGGTGGGTGGGTGGGTGGGTGGATGGATGGATGGATGGATGGACGGACGTACTGTATGCACGCACGTATGTATGTACTAGGTTATTAGGTATGCATGCATGCAAGTCCTCTCACATAAATACGTACTTCCATACAGATAGACGGACGGGCGAACAGGCAGACATACATACATGCATACGCACATATGTTATATATACATATAGATATATATACACACACACACACACTTCATATTTTATCCCCCTTCATGCATGTAATTACATATATATACACACACATTATGTATGTTTATACCACTTTTACACGCATACGAACATACATGCATGCATTTATCTTTATATATATATATATATATATATATATATATACATACACACGCATACATACACATATACACTTATACATACATACGTATATACATATGTCCAAAAATCCCGAAATATATACCTTTGCGTATCTATACACACTACACATGTGCGAAGTTGAAAGTATGTATAAACCACTTTTACACGCATACAGACACACACACACACATGCATGCATACCACTGCATATTATGGGGAATGGGGCTGCCTGCTTTCGTATACCCTCGGCGGAGCCGATCCAATCAGTTCCCGGGAACTCGTGTAGCCTGTTTCTGGGCTCTGGTGACAGGGCTCTCTCGAGTTACGAGAAGAAGGAGAGGTATAGGATTGACAGGGTTTCTGGATTAGGGCTTTAGGGTTCTAATCGTTGAGGATTTGCAGGCTTTCTCATTTTGTCTACCATTTTTTATTGTCATGGGAACTTGCACGAATCAAGTTCCTCCGCCCGCACCACGGCTTCTACAGTGCCCTCAATGTCCAAAACATTGTCGTGCACAGTTCACCGTTGCTTGGGAAAGCACTCCCACCAAACAGGCCTACAGCCCCAAACCCGACACCCCTAAACTCTCAAGTTCAATATCCCTAAACCCTAAGCTCTAAACTTCAAAGTGTCAGCTTGGGAGGATCGAGCAGGCGCAAAAAGGATGTAAAAAAAAAGCCACTTCAAAGATCAAAGTCCCAAGCCCGAAGCGAACCGCGACCCTCCAAACTTCGAAGCTCCCAAGCCCGAACCTCCAAGAGCTCCCGAGCTCTCTCTACCCTAAACCCCTAAACCCCTGAACCCCTAAACCCCTAAACCTTATAAACTCCAACACCCTAAACCCCTAAACCCTAAACTCCTAAACCCTAATCCCCTATATACCCCTAAACCCTAAACTCTTCGACTTTGAAATCAGAGCCAGGTCGATGAGAGAGGGCAGACTGCGCTGATGCATGCCCCACACCCAGGGTCCTTGGGTGGGTGGGGGGGGGGTTTGGGAGGTGCTCTAGAGTTCTAGAGTTCTAGAGTTTGAAGTTTAGGTGTAAGGGTTCAGGTTTAGGGTCGGAATTTTAGTCCAAGTATTGCGAAGAAGACACTTTTCGAGCCGGACGTCGGCATATGAGGTCCCTTCGGGTCTTTGGGGTGTTGAGCTTCATGCTGTTGCAAGATGCGCGCGAGTCCCGCGATGATCGGATCGAGGCGCCTCCTTTGTCAGGCAACTGAGCACAAGCTGAACAGCCTTGACACCGAACCTGGCATGGCCTCTGACCCCTACATAAAGCCTCAGCCCTACGCCACTCCCCCTCCAGTTGCCAGCACCATGGACCTGCCTAGGCAAAAACCCTCAGAGGAGTTTCGAGGCCCGAGGTCTGACCCATGTCGCGGCCGGCCATCGACAAGTATGGCAAGCTCGGGGACCAGGCATTTAGCCGGATGGAGAAGGCCACCGGAATTCCTCCGAAAGGGCGGCCTTCGAAAGCCAGACGGGAGTTTCCGAAAACTAGGGGGGTAGCTTTTTTGTGGGGTCCTTACAATGAGGATCCTACTTTCTTAGGGTCCCGTATTTGCGGAAACTCCCAGATCCAGCCCTGTGGTAAGCAGGTCAACGCCGACCTCTTCCTGCTGACCTACGGGTCCCTGGTGACGCAGCTCCTCAAGGACATGGAGGACGTCGGGGGCTCGGCTAAAGGCATCAGCCCAAGATCCTCCCAGAGAGTCTAATACCCCTTAATTAAGGAATATGCCTCAAATTATAAGGGATTCAGATTATGATTTAAGCTATATTCCTTAATTAAGGAGTATTGGGCTCTCCGGGCTTGACGAAGGAAGGCACCAAGAATCATAGAGGGCTCATTGTAGATGGTTCAGTTGGAGGATCCGAGGTGTTTTGCTGACCAAGCAATGCGGCACGGGCAGCCCATAAATGCCATAAAGCCATATCAAGGCCCCAGATAAGGTTTTATAGGGCTGTAGAATGCCACATGCAACTTTCGTGGCAGTTTGCAGTGTAGGGTTCAGGGTCACCTCGCGTCCACCTGTCGCAAGGCAGATGCTGTCAACGCGCAGTTGGACAAAATGGGCCCCTCGGTGGTACCGATTGCCTGGCTTCTTCATTTCAGCGGTGTTCTTTGGTCTCGACCACAACAGGCCTTGAAGTTCGTAGGGCTTCCGTCTAGGCATGTGGAGTGTAGGCTTTGTGGTTTAGGGTTTATGGGTCTGTGCATAGCGAGGCCCTCCATTGGTAGCCCTATGCCCTTTTTACTGTCAGAACGCCTTGTCCAAGCTGAGGAACGGACAAAGTGTACCCTGGGAACCGAGCCTTGAACGCCATACCTTACCTGGTTACCTAGGCTACAACATCGGCTTGCGTCTCATCGATGAGTTCCTGGCCAAGAGTGGTGTCACTGCGGCTTGGCCTTAAGGCCTGCCCGGGAGGCGGAGGCCATGAAGCAGAGGACAACCTTAGGGGGTTCAAGGTTCAAGCAGGCTTTAGGGTTGGGTTTGGGTCTTCAGGGTTGACGGCGTGGGTTTAGGGCACACGGTTTGCGGCTGTGGGTTTTAAGCTGTGGAGGGCTCAGGGTTACCAGGGACCTGTAGGGACTTGACTAAGGAACCCTCGCCCTAAACTCTACAACCCTAAACCCTGAAACCCTAAACCCTGAAACCCTAAACCCTAAACCCGAAACGCCGAAACCCTAAACCGACTCGGCGGGGGCTTCTGCAAGGTAGAGCTTTCGGAACGAGACCGAAGAGATTAAGAAGCTCCCTCCCTAAACCCAGAGAGCCCAATACTCCTTAATTAAGGAATATGGCTTAAATCATAATCTGAATCCCTTATAATTTGAGGCATATTCCTTAATTAAGGGGTATTGGGCTCTCTGGGAACCCTTAGCCCCGTTTTGTGTGTTCACCTAAGGCCTGTCAAGACTTCCGTGAGACAGCGGAGGTGGTCGCCAAGGTTGGACAGTTAAGCTTTGTTGCTTTGTTTTCCTGCTTGAGTATTCTTGGCCGAAGGGTTTTGTTTCCCTAAACCCTAAACCCTAAACCCTAAACCCTAAACCCTTTTTGGGTGTCATGGTGCAGGGTTTTGGAGTTTCGGTTTGCGGTCTCACGGTTTAGGGCCCAGGGTTAGGGTTCGCCGTTCGCGATTTCGGATTCTCGGTGCTGCATAAGGAATGTTGTAGGGCTTCGCAAAGGTCTCACAGGGCGAAAGACGGTTTTCATGGCTGTAGTATGTAGGCTCTTGAGGATAGGTTGTAGAGTTTCACAAGGATTGTGTTGGCCTTTCAACGAGAGGCTTCGTGCTTTTTTCACAAGGGGTTCTTTGAGGTTGTGGGTTGGGTTTATACGGGGTTTACCTACGTTGTGACGTTTTGGATTCATATCATTTCTCCCCCCACATCCCGCAGGCTGCAAGGCCCAACTTGCTCCTCCCTGAAGTCGTTTGTGGCTCTTCAACCTCTAGCGGTTCCTTTAAAGGCTTTAAGGGTTGAGGGTTGAGGGTTCCTGTGCAGGCCCTTGAACCCCTCTATACCCTAAATCCTAAGCCCACTTGAGTTGCCTCCCTGTCCTCTCCAAGAGGTCGGCCTGCGGATGTTTCTGGGAGTGGGTGCGGAGGTCGTCATGTGGAACAAGGAGCGTCACGGATTCATGCTGGGCACTCCTTGGTAATCAGAGTTCATGTTGGCTGTATGTAAACCATTGGTCATGAAGGAGGACTTTTGGCTTGGGGCGCTTATACTAAAACAGGTGTTTGACTCTGTAGGAATGTCAGTGTTCAAACCTCCCCATAATAAACAAGCATTAGTACCCAGGCGCCTGCTGTTCAGGGTTCTAGGTTGAAGGGCCTGGGATGTCGAGATACGGCCCTGTCGAATTAGAGCCAGTTTTGCAGTGTAGAGAATTGTAGAGGAAGCATGACATTGGTTTCTGTGAGGCGGTCATCCGAGTGACCCGAAGTAGTTGGGCTACGCCAGTGCACTTGAGGATCAGGGGAGGCCATGTTCATGCTTTGGGAAGTCTTCCAAACCAGAGTCGTCTTTGCTCCGAGGATGCCGTGATCTACTTGCGGACCTGTAGGGCCATAGGGTCGAGAGTTATGGTAAGATGCACCGCATCAGAAGGTCCGAAGCCCACTCAAGCCTCCAACCCATGACGCTGGAAGGTGCAAGCTCACGAGACGTCGGAGTGAATTATCAGTTACAATCCCTTCTAATCTTTCCATAATGCTTTTACAATGTACCCCCAGGTTCTATTTGAAATCAGTAATAAGGTCTATTGAGGCTCAAGGGATCCGACATGCTTCAGCATTGCTTTGGCGACTGACAGGGATTGCTACGGAGAGGCTCCAATATCCCTTTGTCGGAGAATGTTGAATGTCCATTATGTGTGGGTATCGGGCAGTAAATACCTTAAGCCAGTACTCAACAACGCCTTAGACAGGGATTTTAAGTATAGTTTCTCTCAGTAGCAAAGCAGCCTCTAGACGCCATGGTATATCTATGGAAATCCGTAAGCAGCCTTACAAAGCTTTCTAAAACCCAAGGCTTGAGGTTTTGTGCCTTGGTTGAGAGGTGCCACGCAGGAGATGCCTCAACCCTAAGCCCTCTAACTAGGGTGCCAACGCAGGAGATGCCTAAACCCTAAACCCTAAACCTCTAATTGGGGTGCCAACGCAGGAGATGCCCAAACCCTAAACCCCAAACCCCGCAAACCCTTTAAACCCCAAGCCCTATAAACCCTAAACCCTACAAACCCTAAACCAAAACCCTCTAATTAGGGTGCCAACGCAGGAGATGACGGCCTGCTCCCTGGTCCTAGCAGAGAACCCCTTGGCCGAGTACGTGGAACTGCCGGCGAACTTGGTGAACAAGCTCTGGTGCGCGGAGCCGGAGGAGTTTCCGAAGATAGGCGACCCTAATATAGTACCCTAGATAGTAGGATCCTTGTTATAAGGACCCCAAAATAAGGGCTCTGGTGCGCGAGGGGGCCAGTAGGGGGAGCCTGGGCGCCCCAGACAACCTCAACATGGGAGTTTCCGACAATAGGGGACCCTAAGATAGTACCCTAAATAGTAGGATCCTTCTTATAAAGGACCGCAACTTACGGTACCCCTAATTTTCGGAAACTTCTAAATCGGGGCCCCTAAACAATTACCAACACGACTTGGTGGGACCTTGGGGTTCCTTATTATAAAGATGTAGCACAGGATATCCCAAAAAACCCTATTCCAAATGTTAAGGCCCCTACACCTCCAATGAGTCTCCTGGGGCCCCAAACAGGCCTCAGCACGAAGCAACAGCCCAGCGTCACGATCTTCTGTTCTGCACATTCAGAAGCCTTGCGATTGATAGACTTCCCCAATCCGTCAGATACTTCCACCGCATGAACCGAAAGCCCAAACGACCCTTCGACTTGACACCCTACAATCTAACCCTAAACCCTAAACCGAAACACCCAGACCAAGAGCTTCAGAACTTCAGGTACTCGAACTTGCTCTGTGGCGTCATCCGCGGCTGTCTCGAGCAGCTGCAGCTGCGGGTGGAGTGCCGCTTCGAGAAGGAGACCCAGCTTCGGTTTCATAGGCTTTCGATTGCAAGAAATAGGGGTTTCTGCTGAACGGGTCTAAGGGTGACTATATGGGTGTAGTGTAGGGAGATTGTACCCCAGAAGCCTTACGGCAAGTATAATGGTTCGGGATTTAGGCTTGATCAAGGCCTGAGGGTTTGGGGTTTAGGGTGTCGGGTTGGGCGATAAAAAGAGATCTTCAAATGAATCTAAACGTATCTAAGCTATGCAGTTGTATCGTTACAGAGAATTTGCAGAGGCAGAGGAAAGAGTACTTCCGTGTGCATGCATGCACTTGCATGTATTTTCGTGCATTGCACAGAGATGAACATTTAGACACACGAACCAGACGCACAAGAACCGCGCAAAAACACAGCTTCCAGAAGTACATATATATATATATATATATGTATGCGCATATGTGTGTATATGTATATATATGTATACAGTATATATATATATATATATGTATGTATACATATGTAGATACGCATGCATGCAACATTCTGCCACAGAAGAGGCTTAATCATATCAGGAGAATCCAAACAGAATTATTGTTCAATGAAGTGGCTTCCAATCCCAAGGTCCATGTTGCTGTCGGGTTTTAGGGCCAGGCCGGGAGTTTGGGGTGCCCTTGAACTCTCAACCCTAAACCCTGGTAATCAGACCACTTATGTATCCATTCCTAAACCCGGAACGTCTGAGCCCGAAAGTTTCTATGAAACCTGAACTTACAACATAAACCCTAAACCCCAGACCGTTACAGAAACCATTGTAGAGCCCTTCTAAAACCCAAGGGAAACCTTCAAAGAAGCCTTACCCCAAACCCGAAAGCCCTCAACCCTTGAGGCCTAAACCCCAAAGCTCTAAGCCCAACTTAGTTTAGGGTTTAGGGTTTCTTCAAGCAGAATCCTTTCTCTTTCATCGAGCCCCGGAGCGCTGAAGCTTCGAGGATGCGTTGCAAGGCGACGACCAAACCATGATCCGGATGGAGCTGAAGGAGGCAGTCGAAGGAAGACAATGGGGGAATGGGGGGGGGGGGGGGGGTGGGTGGGTTTGGCTTTTCGATCGTTGTACTGTAAGTGTTGTTTTCGGATCTTTATGGAAGGATCTCAATTTCATGAGGGCCTTAATTGTGTGGAGACCCTAAGTACGGATTTCGTAGGATTCAAGCGTTTTCTCCGGTGCCTTAAAGTAATTTGAATCGGGATCCCGTGTATGATCTACGGCAAAATAGGGCAATACAGGGATGGTAAGAGAACTGTCGGAGCAGCACCAACAGCAGCAACAGGATATAGCTAAGCTGACGACTGTTGTACAGGTTGGTCCCACAAACAGCCGTCATCTTCTGATGTTGGCACGACACTGTCAATCATGTTTCAGAAAGAGTATGTGCCCAGCACAGCAGAATACAACCAGGAGGAATTCGGTGTTGTGTTTCTGATGTTTTTGAGATCTCACCAGCGTTGTTTTGCTGAGCTGCTCCCCACGGAACCGGAAATCAACATGAGGATGTCGTTTTTTCGGCATCTTCCTTAATCGAGCGTTCAGAGTGCAGGTGCTCCACGAGGAGTACGACGATGACGACTGATGCGTGTGCACCAGCACATGCAAAGCCGTGCAGAAAAAGGTAGTTGCAGAACCTCAGGGACCAGCAGATCTGAGCTTACTTCTGACTATGAATAGGACGTATAATGTGAAAGAATCCCTCCCCACTTATCTTTAACTCTATGGAAGCCATATCCCCTGAACTCTAAACCCTCAACCCTGAACCCTCAACCCTGAACGGCAAGCCCAAAACCCAAAGCCCTATTCGCTACACCTTGAAGCCGGAGCCCCAGCGCTGCGCAAGGCGCCAGTCATCTTCAGGGTGTTTCCAGAGTTCTCCGTTTCAGGTTAGGAGGTCCGGTCCCTCTTTTGAGTTTAGGGTTTACTATCTCATGTTCACGGCAGAAATGGAGGGGTTCATGTCTTGAGGGTTTAGGTTTTGGAGTCATTCGAAGGGCTTAAGGGTTTGAGGATTTGGGACTTCGGTCAGGGATCTGTTTTGTTTTTTGGTTGTCCTTCGAATCAGGATTCTATTGCTGACGGGCTTTACCAGGGAGCCTTTCGAACAAGCAGGATTTCAATCTGGAATGTTGCAGGCAGGGCTCGGGCTTCGGTTTTTTCGTGGTTCAGGGTTTAGGGTTTATGGATGTATCTTAGAAGGCATGTAATGCTTAGATTAGATCGCAGATAGATTGTATGCTGTAACCCTAATGTTTTGCGGTTTAGCGTCTTGCCTCGTCGATTTGCTGCAGCCGTTTCTGAGAAGCTCGTGCTTCGTTCCGGCGGCGTTCCCTTCTAAGTTTCGGCTTGGGGCTTTTTGAGGCTTCGGGGGCTTTTGAGGCTGTTGGGGTTCGTCAAAGGCCAAGGTTCAAGGCTTCTGCCAGACCTCGCCATGCCTCGCAAAGCCTTCCGTGACGGCCCGGAAGCTCTCGAGGTGGAGCAACAACAAACACTACTACTACTACTACTACTACTACTACTACTACTACTACTACTACTACTACTACTACTACTACTACTACTACTACTACTACTACTACTACCCTGCCGCGACGACGACGACTACTACTACTACTATTACTACTACTGCTGCTGCTACTGCGACTGCTACTACTACGACTAACCCCTTCCTCCGTTTAATAACCCGCCCCCCAAATATAAGGACATATTTCGGGCCTTTAATTTTGAAATTCAGGGGATTTCGGGTGGTTTTAGGTTGATTTTCCGAAATTCGAGTCTAGACTTTTCTTCTCCCAGGCAAGGGTGCACGTCTAACAAAAAGCATGGGACAGGGCCGGTACGCACCTGCCTGGGAGACCACCCGGTTTCGAGACAGCAATCAGTCGCCCTAGCCTGGGAGTTCAACACCACGCGCGACTTGTAGGTGTTTTCATTCGCCTAGCCTGGGAGGTCCGGATCGCGACAGTAATGAAACATGTAAGATATTCCGGAACTCCCAGCCTAGGCGAGTGAAAGCGCCTAAAACAAGTCCCGAGGCTAGGGCGAGTATTTGCCTAGCAAACACCAATACGCACCCAGTTGCCTTCCCGCGAGCAGGGTCCGATGCCCTAATCTCACAAATTCTGTTGTTTGCAACGGGGCCATCCGTGCACACGAAAGCAGGCTCGGTCTTAAATCTGGCAAGCATTGCTTGCCTAAGTTTTTTGTTTTCTTGAAGCCAACCCACAGCCAAGGTATATTGGAGAGATGGAGACGTATATATATATATATATATATATAGATACATATGCCTATACGTGGACATATCTTCTATGACTTGCAAAAACGGGAGTTCGTTATATTTAGGGGGGATTTATTAAACGGATGAAGGGATTACTATTGCTACGGCGACGACTACTACTACTGCTCCTGCTGCTGCTGCCACGCCTATACTGCTACTGCTACCTACTGCTGCTACTTACTACTGCTGCTACTGCTGCTACTGCTGCTACTGCTGCTACTGCTACGACTCCTACTACTGCTACTACTGCTACTACTAGTACTACTGCTACTATTGCTACTACTGCTACTACGGGTACTACTGCTACTACTGATACTGCTGCTACGACTGTTACTACTACTACTACTACTACTACTACTACTACTACTACTACTACTACTACTATTGCTACTACTGCTGCTACTACTACTACTACTACTACTACTACTGCTACTGTTGCTACTGTTGCTACAGCTGCTACAGCTGCTACTGCTGCTACCGCTGCTACAGCTGCTACTGCTGCTACTACATTCACAGGAGTATGTTCAGGGAGCATGTGTACATCGGAATCACAGACTCAGAAAATGTGTTCCAGTTCAGTTGGCGACGCAAGCATGGCAAGCAAGTGCCGTGCTGTAATAAATCATGGATGTGAGAAAAGCGAGCAGGGTCCGATGCCCTAATCTCACAAATTCTGTTGTTTGCAACGGGGCCATCCGTGCACACGAAAGCAGGCTCGGTCTTAAATCTGGCAAGCATTGCTTGCATAAGTTTTTTGTTTTCTTGAAGCCAACCCACAGCCAAGGTATATTGGAGAGATGGAGACGTATATATATATATATATATATATAGATACATATGCCTATACATGGACATATCTTCTATGACTTGCAAAAACGGGAGTTCGTTATATTTAGGGGGGATTTATTAAACGGATGAAGGGATTACTATTGCTACGGCGACGACTACTACTACTGCTCCTGCTGCTGCTGCCACGCCTACTGCTACTGCTACCTACTGCTGCTACTTACTACTGCTGCTACTGCTGCTACTGCTGCTACTGCTGCTACTGCCACGACTCCTACTACTGCTACTACTGCTACTACTAGTACTACTGCAACTATTGCTACTACTGCTACTACGGGTACTACTGCTACTACTGATACTGCTGCTACGACTGTTACTACTACTACTACTACTACTGCTACTACTGCTGCTACTACTACTACTACTGCTACTGTTGCTACTGTTGCTACAGCTGCTACAGCTGCTACTGCTGCTACCGCTGCTACAGCTGCTACTGCTGCTACTACATTCACAGGAGTATGTTCAGGGAGCATGTGTACATCGGAATCACAGACTCAGAAAATGTGTTCCAGTTCAGTTGGCGACGCAAGCATGGCAAGCAAGTGCCGTGCTGTAATAAATCATGGATGTGAGAAAAGCCATCACCTTGGTAGTACATTGTTTAAATCGAGAGATTGCCTCATGTCACAAGCTCGCGATGCTACTGCTGCTATTGCTACTGCTACTGGTTCTGACCCAGGACTTTGCATTAGGCTCAAGGTACCCCATTCTTCGGTGCAAGCCCCAAGACTCGAAATTTCGGCATTCCTTCCCGATTTGGCTTCTGTATTTCAAGGGCGAATTCGTCATGGGTTTCAGTTGCCAAAAGAGCCGCTGCAGCTGTTGTTGGTGTTGTTGCCCCGCACTGAAATCGATAGCCGTCTTCGAATTGTGGTAAGGCTCCGAATGTACAGAACGGTAACCTCTATATTGGCAGATTACTTGCAGATTATGAGCTTTGAACAACAACAGGCTCTCCTTCCCTGCTACGAGCGCGCTACCTTGACGCTGGCGCCCCGCCGGCCCCGGCGCGCCTTCCGGGCGTTGGAGGGGGAAGACGAGGCCCGGTGTTTTGGTGTAGCTATGTCCTACCTACTTCCTCAAATACTTATACAGAGACGTCATAATTACGATTTCGCCTGAAAAGTGTTGTTTGCCAAAGGGTGCAGGTAGGGTTGTTCGAGAAAGCTTTATGTCTTTTCTTTCCATGGAAGGCTTCTTATAGCCTAAGAACAGGCCAATCCTTCTTCCTCAAAACTTCCTTTTTCGTTGCTATGTTACTATACTACAAAACATGCCCCCAAAGCCTAATCGAAGCATCACCTTTTTGGGCTGCGAGTTGAAGGTCACTGGAGGTTCTGGTCAAATTTCGTATTCCCCTCGTGGTCCCAATACGAAATATTTTCGTTTCTAATCATTAGGGCCTTTATTTGGTGTCTCGCATATAGGGGCCAAAACTGAGAAATAAGTGCCCCTTGCAGTTCGCACATGCTTACAGTATAGCATACAGCAAAAGGCTGCTCTAGTTTGTAATAACATCCCGGTTCAGAGGTTTTCGGACTGTGTTTGGCTGTGGGTTCAAAGTGCTCACACTCCTCTGGTAGTGGGCGAAGGGATCGTCCAAGACTGCAACTATGCTCGGAGGTTCTCCAAGGGCTCCGTATGAATTTCTATCATGATTCTGCAGGGCTCTTCTGGGGTTGTATGACGCTTTTTAAGGGCTCCAGAAGGGTTAGGGCTGCCGATTTCAATACTGATAAAGCGTAATCCCAAAATGAGGGCCTTCACAAAACCTTCGTTTGAACCTTCATAGAGACTGTAAACCTCGAAGAACCCTGATAGAGCCCGGTTTAGAGACTTTATAGAACCCTGGTAGTTCCTGAAGCCTTTCGGAACCAGCATAACATAGAAGCCTGAATTTTTGATAATTACTACCAGCATTATTCCTTAGGGTTCCTCATCAAAGAATCAGACTATAAAAGAGCCGAAAGCCCTATTCTACTTACTTCGGCCCCAAGAGTAGAGCCCTTACACAGCCCTGTTTGAGGATGGCCTGCTCTTTCTGATCACTGCGGTTGCGGCGAGTGCCACGGGCTAAGGTCAAAGCTAGGCGGATGCTGAGAGGACATTTAGGGGGTTGCTTGTTGTACTTAGACTCCCACTGTTCTCTCCTTCCAGCGATCCTGTGCGCCACGCTCGGTTCTTCACATTTACTTCCATTATCCCGTTGTTTCTGTTCCTCTAGTTTAAGCCGTCAACTCCAAACTCTAAAACCAAAACCTCTAAACCCCTAAATCCCAAAACACGTAAGACTCAGAGTCGAGCGCTGTCTATCGGGTGTGTGAATATTGCTTGTCAATCGGTTTAGGGGTTCAGGGGTTCAGGATTTAGTGTGTTGGGTCTACTTTGCATCCGAAGAAGCTCGACTGCTGCAGGGTTTGCGGTCTTCGGGTTCAGTTGTTGCGGTTCAGGGTTGA